GGGATCAAAATGGCTCCCTGATATACAGCAAAGCAGAACGTTTGGACCGCTGGGCACAGTACTTCGAACAGCAATTCAGCTGGCCACCTGCACCCCCAATCCAGAAACCCGGCCTTCAACAGAAAGGTGGACCGTAAATATGGAGCCGCCTTCAGTATCAGAAGTGTCCGAATGCATTTCTCTAATCAAGCGTCATCGTGCTGCTGGTTCTGATGACCTTCCACCTACACGACCTACAATCTTGCTGTTCTTTGACTTAAAGTGTTAGTTCGATTCTGTCGATCGGCCAGTGCCGTTAGTCACACGTGGTCAGCACGGCGTGCCCCAGAAATTTATGCACATAATCCGGTCCCCATATTACATACCTGTGGGCCTGTCAGGGTGTATGATGAACTACCCAAAAAATTCCCCACAAAAAGTGGTGTCAGATAAGAATGTACACTCTTTCCAATCTTGTTCAACTTCGTTATTGATGAAATAATGAGGCGAACGCCGGAAGGTTTTCAAAACCCTGATGTTCAAGTCGTTGCTGATGAGAACGTTGTCAATCTGGAGCTGACGGGCAGAGGACATCGCCCTCGTCTTTGAAGACGAAGGCGCAGCACGTCACACACTTAAGTCAGGTCACACCTTCTTTCAGCATGCGCCTTGCGTCTTCAAAGTGGAAAGTAATGCCTCAGAACGTAAGTCTCTGAATTCAAGGAAAACCACTGGAGGTTGTGGGGAATTTTACATACCTCCGTACTTGTGTTAGCTCTGATGGAAGTGTATATCATGAAATCAGTACACGTATCGCAAAGGACCGAATCACGCTTGCTAATTTGCGTCACTTTTGGAGCCAAGACAGCAAATCACCGGGCCCCAAGGATCGCATATACCAGGTAAAGGTTGTATTATTATGTGGTTGCGAAACATTGGCTCTGCGGATAGGTGATGTGAGGCCTCTTGGTTTTTGACCACCGTCAGTTGATTCATTTCGAGTAGATCAGGAAATGTGTAACTGGTTTTGAAGTAGGTACTTAAGTCGCGGATTAAGTTCAACATCATCAACTGCGGCGGCTCGGTTATGTGATACGCATGCGGAAACACCATCTACTGAGATAAGCGTGGTTCTCTGTGCCTTCCTCAGAATGGCGCAAACTACGAGGTGGATGTTATGTCCTTTACTGATCAGTCAATCAACCTTGTCAGTTACACACGGAATTGAGACGACAAAGCCTTGAGGTAATTGTACTCCAGCAACTGAACAGCCAATATCGAGATTCAAAAGAATCAAGAATGGAATGGAACAAAACAGTCCAATGAAAGGCTGAAATAGAGAGAGAAATGCTGAACATTGAAACATAGGTTATAGGCAACAATGTGAATATGTTTGTTAGGCGGCAGTCCTCCTCCTAACATTGGACAAGTCATGACTTGGCAAAAGGGTGTGAAACAGATTACGAAGGGCCTATATGTTGTTGGTGAGGCCCGCCATCGAGGATAAAGTCCCCGTGACCCCCTCCTGTGCTTGCCTGGACGACACAGTCACAACGTTCAGATATAGCACCCTTTCGGTGCCTAACTGCCATACCACCAGAAGGAAGCACGAGGGCCGGGATACTGCCAGGTTGCCCAAGCCTAGACAGGGGAAGTCGAGGGGCAGAAGTCGGGTTTTAACTACGGACCTTCCGGTCAGTAAATTCGCGCTCGAACCATTTGGGCCGTCGTGGATGAACACATTGCGGGAAATAGTGGCGTTCTTGTCAGTTTTCTTTCAGGTTGTCTGATTGAGCACTTGGAGGTGTAGGCACCTCAGTGCTTGCGATAGGCCAGCTCCATGTCCCCTCCCTTACCCAATATTTTCTCTTCTTTTCATTCTAAGACTTGAGGTATAATTACAAGCATTGTGGTCGTATGGTAGTGGAGCGTCAGTGTCAACGCTGATGTTGCTATCTCTGATAATGATGGTGGTGATGATGATGACCAGCGGCGAACTATCCAATACAGGCGAAATACAATTATAACCTATTAAGAGCCAGATATGGCGCTGATCGTTTATGATATACGCAGTAGCATCAAAAGTCCAACCTCTGTCTTGCTTTGCGCGCTATCAGGCTAGGGCACTCCTTGGCCGAGCAGGTCAAACCATTGCGTCATTGGCTCCAGTTAAGGTCATCTGTTGCACTATGGGTCATACTTTTGTGTCAGGAGCCCAAAATGGACCACATCAACCTCGGCCTGGCAACTAGTTAGTATCACTCCCCCTTGAAATGGAACGCCCCGATCGTCATGTCAGTCTTCGAAATAGGTGCATGGATCCTGTGCAGAAGCCATCGTCGCATCACTCTGGTAGTCGTGGGATCCAAGGCGCTCCATAGCATTATTCTGTGCAGGGTGCTGTGGAGTGCTGCTTGAAACCTCTCTGCCTGACATTTGAACTTTCTGGATGGGTATGTTCCAAGGGACATTGGCTCACAGACAATCCTTCGGAGATGCAAGTCACTTTAGATGATCTAACTGATTGCCGCACGGCTTGTCCTGTGCTTCAACCTTATGAAGTGTAGAATGGCGCTGCAAAACTGAGTAGGCTCAAACCTTAACCTAGCTTGCAGACAAGCCAACCGGTGTGATAGAAAAATTCATTTTTCTGTGCAGTTGTGTAAGTTCCGATGGTCTGACTGTAGACGAGGTCACTTCTCGATTTCGTCACCCTCCGACACCTGTGGTGCAGGCGAGAAATCAGTTTATCTGTCAAGGATAGTGTATACACTGCAGCCTTGGGACCTGTACCGCATTATAGATCAGAAACGTTGTCTCTTCGCATAGAGGACGTACGGGATCTCGGCATTTGATCATCGGTGTGTCCAATGAATTGGTGGGGTCTAACGGGAACGTTGGCTTAGCAGTGGACGAGTTACTCAAGCTTTACAGGCGACGCTGGATGGGAAGACGGCAAGTCCTACACGATTGGAGCTCTTCGCTTATAGTCCATTGTTGATTATTTATGTTTCGCTGGCATTTCAGAAGCTTGGCCTTTGCGTTTCATGGTCAGTCGGGGCATGGTATCCTTCAGATCTTGGTGTATATCAACTCTCGAGAACGGAGGTGTATATCCTTGAGTGATTCTTATCAAAACAAACTCGCTTTCGTCTAATTGTATTTGTAGGATCCATTTAGATGTGTTCTTCCTGGGGTATGATCACTCTCATGCACGTGTAGCACTTGAGAATACGTTGACGCCCTCGTGAACACTTCGCAAAGCTTCTCTGTACCCGCTGGTCCTTCGTCCGAGTTAGTCGATCTATCTGCTGGTCGAGATGCGATAGGCTTTCAGGTGTGATACACTGTCACCTACCGAAAGGCAATCTGTGCCACAGGCAGTTAGAGAAATCACTTTAATCAGCATCGTCGATATCTCTACTGCCGACCATTACGTCCGTATATCAAGGGATCTCCATATTATGTCGGATCAGTTGCTCGTGTAAATTTTCAGTGCAACACGCAGTCGGTACTCTTTAGCCTTGCTTTTATCCATGAACCCCCTTCTAAATGGCCACAGCGTCGTCTTTCAGGCTTCCACATCCATGCCAACTCCAACACCGAGGACATCTGAATGGGGAAGATGGTCATTTGATTCGTTTTCCGTTCTTCCTAACGCGACTTTGGGAGCATAGGCACTGAAAACGTGACATCTTGCCTTCAGAATATTTTGACTCACATTTGGTCATATTCCTCGAGTTAATGCAGTTTGGTTCACTCGGTAATTCCTTAGTTTAGATAATCGGTGACTGTGTATGCGATGCCCTTTTCAGGCCGGACTTCTTGTGTTGTTCCACTCCACAACAGAACCAACCTCTGGTAACTTCCCTGATAAACCAGTTCTTTCGCAACGGCAGCATTTAGTTCTTCAGACTTTAGGTTGAATTTTGCTGCTCTCAGTGGTTGGACGAATGCTGGGTCATTTAAGTATTGAAAGTAAATCACGACGACAAGTCATACAGTTCTGCGTTCAAGTCTCTTTCGCTTTGCTCATAACTTATGCTCATTTCCATTTCAGATATACTGTTCCCATAGTTCACCGTCTGAACAGAGTGAATGGAGTCGAAACCAGACGAAAGCTCAAGTTCTGACTCGACGGATAGTGACTTTGAACTGGAGGACAAACAGGAAGAGGACTTGAAGGCTGAGGTTTCTTCTCTGAAGTCTGAGGTTATTTTCCTCTTTAATCACTTTTAAGCTGCTATTACAGTTAGCACGTCAACCGATCCTGTATGAGTTGCATGTTCGATTGATCAATGCGCTCCGTCGACTTGGGGATCTCGATGAGCTCCGATTGGCCCAGGAGAATATGAACAAAATTTATCCGCTTTCACCAGGTTGGTTCTGTTTTGATTATTATACAGCCTAACTTTGGCCGCACGATGACCAGGTCACATTGTTTGTACTCGCTACTACTTTGTTACTTCATGTTCATGACCTTTAGTCATTGCAGACTTGTTAATTTTTAAGTAGGTCTCTTTGGGATTGAATTTGGAAAAGATGTCTTTGTTCAGGAGCCGGTTGTGTGAACAAAATATTAAGCTGTACCTGTTCGTTGAGGGGCAACCCCCAACGTAGAGCACTACGGTTAGGAATGGTTTAAATCAGCCAATAAATCTCCGCCATAGTATGTCTTTTTGCTTGCAATAAGCTCCCAAGTTACAACTTCAGCGTTGACAATAACACCAGAGGATTACACTGGTGCTCCACTGCTGTACAGCCGTGTCCGTCTGGATGGCCCAGCTTCTAGGGCGCGAACTTACTGACCAGAAGGTTCGTGGTTCGAACCCAAACTCTGCATCTCAGCTGCTTCCATACGGGCTTCGGAAACCCGACAGTATCCCAGTCCTCATGGTTTCTTTGGAGTGCATGGCATCTTGGCACGGAAAGGGTGTTACGACTGAACGATCATTCTTGAAAATCCGTCGACAGCCCACAACGGATTTTCAGCAACCTTATGAGTAGTACATTACAAAGATATACATGCATCGCGATATCTCGAATATCGTATCGACTGAAACATGAGGCGGCCTGGTGCAGCACATTCAGTTGCTTGAGAACATCACAAACGAGAGATTCAGCTGGGTTCCAGGTGAGTCTCTCGTAAAACCAAATTAGTTTGCAAATGAGTGTATATTTGCTGAATAATCATTCATTAGAAGGAAAGGGTGAAACAGGGGTATGAATCTAGCAGAACAGCAATACAGTCCGGCTGCGACCATGAATTCCGACAAGGTTCTCTCGGAGGTTTTGAAGGCCTTTCGCAGTTCAATTCACTATCTCGTTGCAGCCTCGTCGGATTCCACCGCCTGTAGGAAGGCTTTTCGAGAGCTCCCCTTTCGCTCTTAGACGCCGATTAGTATGTGAATACAAAGTGCACATTATACTCACGGACATCTGGGTCATACCCTGTGGCACAAGCGTGTTGAAAAGAGTGAACCGGCCGACAAAATCGCTTGATGTTAAGGAACAACAAGATTGCGAGGCGCCCAGACGCAACCGTTGCCTTAACGGACGGACTGTGAAGATGCCCACACAGTCTCTTCTAGACCGGAACCTGCCTGCTGTCTTTTGGTCACTTCTTCCAGCATCCTCGCAAGATGACGTGAAGTAAGCCAGCTAAATAACGTAGTTAGAATGGAGGCCAACCGAATTCCTCTGTGATCGCCACATTTCACCCTTCTTTGACTTAGGATGATTTCTTTCATCCGGATAATCAAATAAGTTGGAAGTGGATCGACTGAAAATTTTACCTGCATTCTTAACCAGAGCCTGCGGTAGTTCCTCGGGACTAGCAGCTCCGTGATGCCAGATGGAGGAGAGACATTCGCGATTTTGGAAACCGTAGGAAGTTCCAGGTTCAGTATACAAGGCTCCGTTACAGGTTGAGAATGTTGATGTGTGTTGATGTAAAGTTGTACAATGCGTATTTCTTAAATCATGCGACGCTGTATACTAACACTTTTCCCGTTTACAGACCTCTGGCTAAAGTGGATAAAAGATGAGCGGAAAATAGCTACCACAGATGATGAGAAACGGCAAGTTGAACTGCTTTTCAAACGCGCCATAGAAGATTACGACGGTTAGTTTGCGTTCTTACCTGTTACCATTTATCATATGCATCTGGAACAACAAAGTACTCGAGAACACTCATTCCTGCCGTTCCGTCCAATCTTGACTGTTCGTTGCAGTTGTTTCAGAGAAGCCTCACCCTTGTCTGTCGGATGTATGGTATTTATGGCGATGACCCCTTGACATAGTCTGATGTGCGTATCCATGCCCTTGTTCAGTACTTTTATTGACGACCATTCCTATTAAAATTTGGTGGCTCCTGTGACCGGCAACAGTTATTAGCAGTTACTCAAGGAGGGTTTCGATATGATGAGGGAATTCTGCTTTGGTTCCTTGTTTTCTCTAGAAAACCATGTTTCAAACTTACCGAGTTGTATCTCACAGCCGCCCCTTAAGAACGCAAGAATGTAACTGATGGTCGTCTCAGAAATCCCTCAATCTTTTCATATATCTACTACTGCGATGTGATCTCCATTGTTCTTGGACAAAATTCTATGCCCACATAAAGCATTATGTGCAGTTGGGTCCCTGTTCTAAAATATTCGGTAATCTCACCTCCATCGCAGAACTTCTTGATCTTTAGTGGGGTTTTTCGAGGCGAATCAGCAAATGTGGCTATATTTGCTTTATTGGACAATGAGTCACACTTATACAATGGTGCGCAGTACCAATAATTTATAGAAATTCGGATTAATCGTTGGTTTCGTCGTTTTTTTGCGAGTGTTCACAATCCCGTTTCTCGTCCCTTTGTAGATGTTTCTATCTGGTTGGAGTACTGCCTGTTTGCTGTGGGTAATCTCAAGCCTGGATGCGCCGACTCAGTTCGTTCCACGGAATCCATATTTAACACGGCCCTCGCACATCAGGGTCTCAATGTGGCTGCTGGCAGTGGCATTTGGGATATGTACAGAGACTTCCAGGAGATTCTACTGAGTCAACCTGACGTGGCAAGTCCGGAACTGTTTTTCGCCAGTTTTTCACGGGCTTCAAGATTTTTTTATCATCAACGTTGCATGAAGCTTTGATAGTCTTTTTGAGTTCTCTAGTCATTCTATGTGTACAGTTTTCTCAATTACCTGATTTATATTCTTTTTAAATTACCTTGACAAACTTTGTCGGAACCCGAGTAACGTGATAAACTAAAATACCACTTATGTTTTACAGGAGACATCTCACTCCACAGAAGCTCTACTCAAGCATATGGACAAACTCTACCGTCGGCAACTCGCCCTTCCGTTGTTGGGTAAGTGACCCTGGTTCCTCCTGGGCTTTTGGTGACATTTTCACAAAGTAGCTCTTTTGAGGACGACTACCCTGGGTGACCTAGCTTTTTCTGAAAACGTTCTTGCTTCAGGGTGTCACAATATAGGTCTTGGGAGAAATAAGTTGCTTTCTTAGATCATCCAGAAGAATGGTTCTTCTGCAGATCTTTCTTGTCTGGTTTTTATCGCTAGGCTCCCTCTCAATCGTACATGTGCAATATGCATGCTTTTACATATTCGTAAACATACTACTTATTGGATCGACTGCTTGTGAGATGGATCCAATCGTAACCCATTTACTTGTACGACTCCGTGTTCGACCAATAACCATAAAAGGTGTACGATTCGTGCTGAATTCAACAGCTTACCTGAAGCCATGATTCCGACCTGCTAGTGGCAACTAAAGGCCTGAGCATATCACCGAAAACCATCGGGGATGCAGTGAATTGCTTAACCTCTGTGGGTTGTTCCTACGGATACCACCATGCGGACTTATTCAGTAGCTGCTCTGGTCATGCACTGATTAAACCTATGTAAGGCCTTATATGTCACTTCTCTGAGTTTGGTTCTGAACATGAATGTCTAAGGATTCATAAGAACCGGGCACGGTGTATCCAATACGAAATGCCACTCAGACAGCGCTTTTAGGTGAATACCAAGTGATCTTTTGATCTTGATGTGATTCTTCGCTGTGTCCTTCACTAGGAATGGAGGCCACCTTGGAGTCTTACAAAGAGTTTCTGCAGAACCTAGGAAAGTCGTTGCACCAAACGCAGGAGGGTCAGCTATGTTCAGGTGTACCGGATGACTGTCTCAGAGAATATCAGAAAGCTTTAGCACAGCTGGAATTGCTAACCCCGTTCGAGGATCGTGTTGATGTAAGTTACTGTTATTATTTTATCGAAATAACCAGTGGTTTCCTTCTGTTTCACGGTTGATATTGGCGTTCATCATTTAATGGAGGTGTCTCCACAATCTTCTAGTTACTGGTCCACCTGCCGTTTCTGTGTATCTCTGCAGGCGAAATGAAAATATTAGTGTCAGATTGCAGTGCTCCTCTTCTACAGTGTTCACTCAGTTGGTCGCTGTGGGAAGGCTGATAACCATAACTTTGTCACCCTCCTACACTTGGTTCTTTTGTGGTAGACCACAGAGGCTATCTTCACACATTGTGTTGGTCTATTATTTAATCTTGACCACGTAGATCTCAGGAATTACGTTTTTTAACTCTACCAAATGCTGAGGACTCATGCTACAAAAAGTTGAGCTTATGTCATTTTTTACTCGGCTCACATAACTGAGTTCCCACTTTCTTGTTATGTACTGGTGTCACCAGATTTTTAGAACATTCTTTCTTTGTAATCCCCAGTACTGACGTTGGTCGATTTTTGCTTCCGGAAGTGGCACAGATGCTACTAGAGCTACGTCAATTTTGGATCATAGAATATAATTCGTTCAATTCATTTTCCCATAAGTATTTGCATCAAGGTGGTGAGTTTTAATAATGCTGGCTGGTTCTGTTTTGCTGCTGGGTACTTGAAACGATCACGATAGTTGGGATCCGACTCGTCCTCTTGGGTGTTCTAGCAACTGTCTCACGAGCCTGACTTTTGCCAACAAAATCAATTTCATGCTGTACTGACAACCGCCTGCTGGTATTACTTAGTGTGCCTTTTTTAGCCCACAAAACTTCATTGATCCCGATTTTAGTGTCTGGAATCGTGGCATACCTATTTGGTGTTCCTATACCATGACTATACCTAGGAAAGTCATAACAAAAAGACGAAACCGGCAGTTTGCATCAATCGTTCGATTTAGCTGATTTATCACCAACGGAATCAGTGCATGATATCCCCCACGTAACGCATTCAGATCCTGAATCCTGTGGAACGCCTATCTTATGAGACTAGCGAAAACTGGACTCCTCGGCGTGGGCCGTAACCGCAGAGCTATTCTAAGGTACCAAACAAAACAACTTCTGCCAACAGTTGTCCCATCAAACAGCAAAACTCTAGCGTCAATGATGTTTAAGGGTGGTCCAGCTACACCCAATTATGCTAAATGTTTTGCGGATGTTTAAACATAGTTGCGTAGCGTAGTATTCTCAATGTTAGTCTAAACTTCCGGCATGCGGGTCTTTCATGGTCTTGATCATAATTTTGTAATTACAGTTGTCTCACCATCTGAGAAGGCGTCACTTGAGAAACCAGTCAACACGTGACCACGTAGGGTCCATTCCGTGATTGAAGGGTTCGTGGCGTTATGTCCTGTTCAGGTACCAGTTGATCGCACTGCTGGTCAGCCAATCTTGGCTGAATGGTCGAGTGTTCAAACATCTACCTGGAGATGGGGGGGTCGAAACTCCCTGGAGTTCTGTGAGGTGCGCGCTGCTTCTGATTCCAAATAACGATGAAACAGCAGTACAGTATCTCTTGGATTTTCAGCATAGGTTGACTTCACTCACAGGACGAAATTCCCATTACATGCACACTGGTACCGATCTTGGATTTTCAGCATAGGTTGACTTCACTCACAGGACGAAATTCCCATTACATGCACATCTACTGGTACCGATGGATTCTATTTGTGTATTAGCTGCTTTATGTCGGGTTTTCGAATTCGTCTGTTCAAAGATAGGAGACTACGTGTGACAGACATAGTCACGGATTTTCCAAACTACTAATGAAAATCAATCCCATTTCTTATTTCTCGAGAGTACTTTGCCGTTAACACGTGACTGTCTTATTGAACTCTGATTAGTCAGCAAACTAACCGGCAAAGTGTATTGGCCCTTACAGGAAAGCAAACGGTCAGCATCTGGTCGCATCACGCTTGCATCGACCATTGTTTGTTTTAATGTTTGCTCCACCTACCTTCCCTAGCCAACAATAGAACAGCCCCAGTCTGACGCTGTTGCTGCATGGAGCTCTTATTTGGATTGGATCGTCTCGTATCCCCGCCAGAAGTCAACTGAAGGACCAAAAACCAAAAGCAAAGAAACTGCCGAAGCCTTCTCTCCTAATCACGTGTGTTGTTTGTTGGAACGAGCTGTCACAGCAAACTGTTTGGTCCCAGAAATTTGGTTACGGTATATCGATTACTTGGTAAGTGTCACGACAGACTTGTCCAGACTTCGGGATCAGGATTTGCATGTTTGAAAAGCCAGGCCAAGTTTCAATAAATCCTAGTATTATCTTAACTATCTGGACCATGAAACTGAACGGTTGGTCTCATTGACTGTTATGCTAATCATTTCTCAACTTGCGGTAAACCAAATCAGGTAAGCCTGTAATAGCGTGTGACACCATCTTCTGCACGAGTCCTCTGATGTCCTACACCCACACAGCGTTTTTCGTAAAGTATTCCGCACCTGAATGAACCATCGTTACATAATATTACTATTGTCGTTACTCTGGTGCTTCTCTGCCATCAGTAGTCAGACAGTCCAGGAACCGACAGTAATAAAGCTGTGGGCTTCGATGCGTGGTCATAGTTTAGTCTATCCAACCAAACACAGAAGGTCACGGGACTCCGTTCTAGCGGGCCTTTTTTACTGCTTTCCGCAGCTTTTCTATCCACTAAGCATGAGACTGAATGACTCATGTCTCACTTCGTGGTCGCATAGCGAACAATCAGGGTAATTATTTGAAGTATCCGGTTTTCTGAGTAGTCGCCCATCTTTTGCTGGGGACCGCCTTGTTGTAGCTACTTTGGGCTCTTTTTGAAGGCATTTTTGCCGTTCAGCAATGTCAGCGTTTTGTTCCCTTTCAGGAAGAAAAGCTAGCTGCAGACAAAGGTCGACTGGTGCGAGTGCTTGCTCGTTCCGTGCGCAACTGTCCCTGGGCCGTCGATCTGTGGCTGCGCTATGCTTTGGCTTCCGAACGCGCTGTTAGTGATGAACTGGTCAATGAAGGCAGCAACGGTGTCACAGAGTATACTGACCGATCCCTGGAGCGTACCGCATTTTCAAAGGTTGAGGGTATGTTCATGTTTGCCCGAACGATCATTTTATTGTAACTTTTCCACTGGATTGTATTCCGTTGTGTTATATCGTCTGTCATGTCAGTCAATCGTATTTGCTCTTCAAACTTGGAAACATTCACTCGGTCATTCACAAACGCTCAGTTTCCCAACACTCGATCTGCTGATTGCCGCCAATCACTTTGCGCATTTTACTTACTCGCACCTAACTTCATACTTTTTTTACAGCTGTATTTGAGGCAGCCTTGTCTGTCGGCCTAGACCAACAGCCTGATGTGATGCGCATCTGGTTAGCCTACTGTGACTACAGGCTTCGTCGATTATTGCGAGTGCAGCCATCTACAGATGAATATGGTGAGTACTTTTTCATCACCTTTTAACAGCTGTTGCGGAATTTCTGGGGATGAAATCAGAAAGAAGTTAGGACGAGAAACACCAGCAAGATGTTATGCCACTGCGTTCGTCCCGGGTAATAATACTCATTCAGCTGTAGCGCCCTTTGGTGCCTAACAGTCATACCACCCGAAGGAAGCACAAGGGCTGAGATATTACCATGTTGCCCAAGCTTAGACAGAAGCAATCGAGGTTCAGAGGTTGGGTTTGATCCACGGACCTTCCTGACAGTAAGCTCATGCCTTAACCACGAGCTATCTCGGGTAATCATAATGATGCTGGCGACGAAAGATGATCTCATCGATCCACTGTCCAATTTCCGGTCTCATTCTCATAGGAGTCTGAGGGAACGAGCTCGAGAATGTGCGGGTTGGATTGCTAACCTCGATCCACTGTTTCTAGAGGTCTCTCAACTGCATAGGATATTCTTAACGCAGACGGTGTGGGGACCGACCGCGTAGCAAGAACATATTCACAAGGCTCTTCAATTTTTATCGTCACAGTCGTCAGCCGTCCCAGTGGTTTTCCGTGTTCATCCTCGGTCCAGAACTGTTTAATCCTTTTGCTCCGACGCACCACGTATTGTGGAATCGTCAGCAAGTGATGTTGACTAATCATTTCAAAAGTCCTCATAAATTTACTGAATGTAGCTACAGAATGAAATTAATGTGGTCACAGAACTTCTAAAGGTTCACATGCCCGTCTAGAGCATTACGATTTTCGTGTTGTATAAAATACCTAGAGGACGACAGTTAGTGGTTTTGGATGAGTTCTGAACGAAAGTCATTAGGGTTAGTAGAAGCTGAACGGGGTTGATAATGAACCACATATTCTCCCGTTGACACTGCGCTGTAAATCGTTAAAAGTTCAGTTCAAAATACAAACCTTCTTCCGCGTGACGTAGTGCAGTTGGGCCGGTCGAATTGGTCCTTCGTAAGAGACTTAGCTTTGGCAACACTCCATGAATGTTAGAAACAAGCCTTCAGTCAAGCGCGGAGAGTGCGGTTTGTGGACTGCTTTTTCCTCTGTCACACCTACTCTGAGGATTCATCATCATCATCATCATCATCAACGACAGCATGACATCAGTGCTCAACACCAATGCCTCA